TTTTGAAATGTCCAGGATTGGCGGTTCCATCCCCATTGTCTTCTCCTATTTCTCGGAGTTCCTGGCCCAGGAGAAACGGGGGGAGCATTTGAGCTGGCTCTGTATGTTCTGGATGATTGGTGGAGTGTATGCAGCTGCAATGGCCTGGGCCATCATTCCCCACTATGGTAAGCACGGGTCTCCGGCCCCCCCCCCCCCCCCACCCCCCCCCCCCCGCACCGACTCCCCATCCTCCCAGCTCGGCTCTGCTCCCTGCTGACTCTGCCACTGTCTGCCAGGGTGGAGTTTCCAGATGGGCTCAGCTTACCAGTTCCACAGCTGGAGGGTCTTTGTCCTCGTGTGTGCCTTTCCCTCGGTGTTTGCCATCGGGGCTCTGACCACGCAGCCGGAGAGTCCCCGCTTCTTCCTGGAGGTGAGTGGATTGCTTCAGTGGGCGGGGAGGGGATGGACATGCTGGCTGTGGGGTTGGTGCCCCGACTGCTTCCTCCTTCATGTGCCCATAACTCGGGGGCGGCGGGGTGGGGGGATCTTGTTTCCTTTGCCTTCAAATGTGTCTCCAGAGGGCTTTGGAGAGACCGGGAAACCTGATCATCTATGGGTGGCTTAAGTTTCTGCAGGGATCCGCCCCCTTTACATCTCCCTTCCAGCCATACCTGGATGTGGCAGATTAGGATGTGTCTCCTCCGGCCACGTACCTGACCGACATGTCCCTCATCTTAGGCTTTTCCTTTCTGTTTTACTGGAGAAATCCCTAGGATCTGTGCTGGCGTCTGTTCCCCCGCAAACCACCCCGACTCTTGCCCGAGTCTGATCATGCCTTGCTGTACCCCAGCTCGGGCTGAGGTGTATCCCCAGAGATCAGGGGTGCAGGGAGCTGGGAGTCCTTTTGCATTTTGGGATCCTGGAAGCCAGCTGGAAGGGGCGGCTTCTGGAACACTGGGTGCGGGAGCCCTGAGTCGCATGTTGGGAATTTACGTTTGTGGTTCCAGAATGGGAAGCATGACGAGGCCTGGATGGTGCTGAAGCAGGTTCATGACACCAACATGCGAGCCAAGGGCCATCCTGAGCGAGTCTTCTCAGTAAGCTACAGCTCTTCCCACTCACCCCTACAGTCCCCTCTTGGACCCTTCCTGGATGCGCATTCTCACCCCCAGACCACACTGCAGCTCAGTGGCACTCCCAGGCACCTGTCACCCCTGAGAGAAAGAGACGCGTGGAGCGGGCTGGGGAAATGGTGTGTGACAGCTCAGCCCTTCTCTTGTCCCCAGGTGACGCACATTAAAACCATTCATCAGGAGGATGAACTGATTGAGATCCAGTCTGATACAGGGACCTGGTACCAGCGCTGGGGAGTCCGGGCTTTGAGCCTGGGGGGTCAGGTAATGGGGGACTGAGTGGTGGAGAGAGAGGAGGGAGCGGGAGAGGTGGAGGAGGGAGGGCCGGAGCCTGTGAATGGTGAAGGTGAACTGGGGGGGTGGGGAGAAGCAAAAAGACCTGGAGATCTGTGAGTAGCAGTCAGCGTGGTCACCTTCGGTCCCCACTGTGTCCCTCGTAGGTTTGGGGGAATTTCCTCTCCTGCTTCAGTCCGGAGTATCGGCGCATCACTCTGATGATGATGGGTGTATGGTTCACCATGTCGTTCAGGTGAGAGGGCGAATGTGTGGGCTGGCGAGCGATGGGACTGGAGGTGAGGGGCGAATGAGGAGGGGAGATGCTGTCTGTTCGCATCCTCACGACCGATGCTTTCCCCAGGTTCTCTACTTAATGAATTCATCAGACTTGTAATTCAAGCTGACGGGCATTCCATTTTTATCCTGTGCAGACAATGTACTGGGATGAGTAGACATGTCCCGGTCCTTAGGGTTCATGTTCTGTCAGGAAGAGCTGAAAGTAGCTGTTAAATCCACGGTCTGTCAGGAATAGATAAGACTAGCAGTGGTGCTACAGTGAGGTGAGGGCATTGTATTGGGGGACACATGGGGCTTGGTGGTGGGCATCTAAATCCTCAGAGAGAATGGGAATAAGACGGGGGGAAGGAAGAGGAGATGCCTGGGAAGCAGAGAGCGTGATGGACAGCATAGAAAACCGTAAAGTCCCCAGAACACAGAAGGGGTGTTGTGAGATGAGGCAGGGGTGAACACGCCCCTACGCGGGTGGACTGTTCCCCCAGCCCTCTGATGGAGTTCTGGTGTCTTCTCTGCCCTATCTGACTCCACGCCTTTGATTCTCCAGCTACTACGGTCTGACTGTCTGGTTCCCCGACATGATCCGCCATCTCCAGGCTGTGGACTATGCAGCACGGACCAAAGTGTTCCCAGGGGAGCGCGTAGAGCACGTGACATTTAACTTCACGCTGGAGAACCAGATCCACCGAGGCGGGCAGTACTTCAATGACAAGTATGTGGGGGCTTTTCAGCGCCACTCTCCCCTGCCCCTTCTACGTCCTGTCACTCTGAGGAGTCTGAGTCCAAGACAAGGTGGTTTGGGGCAAAGCCCGTGTGTGCTCGGCGCTGACGATCTCTCCACTTCTAGGGGAGTAAGTCAGTGAAGGGGTGAGGCTGAGGGGGCGCGTCTCATCACCCTGGTCCTGCAGGTTCATCGGGCTGCGTCTGAAGTCAGTGTCCTTTGAGGACTCCCTGTTTGAGGAGTGTTACTTCGAAGATGTCACGTCCAGCAACACGTTCTTCCGTAACTGCACGTTCATCAACACCGTGTTCTATAACACTGGTAAGGCGGCCAGTGGGTGTCAGCGCAAGGACCGGAACCTGGATGAAGGGAGGAGGAGGAGGCTTCCTCGTCCCCTAGCTCACAGTTCTCAAGCTGAGAGTCCCCGGGAGCCTTGGGGTTACTGACTGGCTACCCTCAGTGGTTGGGACAGATAATGAACATTGGGTATTTTGATCGACTATCTGAGGAAAAATGTCACATTTCTTTACCGTTAGCTGTAACTATGAAAGTTCAGTGAGGTAATGTTAATGTAATTTTCAAGAGGGTGACTGGGTTATTGGGGAAAAGGAAGACAATAAAAAGGGATATTTAATAAGGCCAGCAGCAGGGCTCCTGTTTGTAGCCAGCTCAGGTGGACAAAAAGGACACACAGGAGACAGAGGCTGGTCAGGCCTCAGACACGCCATGGTGCACGGTCTGCTGAAAAGATGGCTAGTTCCCATGGTGACCTTATCGGATGCTTTGCAAGGAGCGCCAGGGATTGAGCTGCCCGCCCCCGACTGTTAACGTCCACAAACGCAGCCGATCCCTAACCATAACCGGCTTCGGTCTCACTGTCCGCTCTGTGTCTTGGCCTCCTAGACCTGTTTAAGTACAAGTTTGTGAACAGCCGCCTGGTGAACAGCACGTTCCTGCACAATAAGGAAGGGTGCCCGCTAGATGTGACAGGGACGGGCGAGGGGGCCTACATGGTGTACTTCGTCAGCTTCCTGGGGACACTGGCTGTGCTTCCTGGAAACATCGTGTCTGCCCTGCTCATGGACAAGATTGGCAGGCTCAGGATGCTTGGTAAGGGGGTGAAGGGCCGGGTGCGGCTGGGGCAGGCTGTCCGCGAGCTTCTCACCTCCAGCTGTGGAAGAGATGGGCCAGAGTGCTTCCCCCTGTCTTCCCCCATGTTTTGTTTAGGGGTGCTGCAAAATGGGGGCGGGGGGCCTGGCATAGAAGTTACTCTAGGGGGATAAAGAGAATGACAGGCAAGTAGATACAGACTTGGAGGTTTCGGGTTCGAAATTCAGCTCCGCCACTTACCTTGGGCAGGCTCTGCCCTGTGAGCTCTCCCCTGCAACCTAGGAAATGAAAACAGCGCCTCTCTCCGAGGATTGATGCCTCAGAAAGGTGCATCTGAGTGGTCAAGTCACGTGTCTCTTGGTTGGTTGGAATGAATGGCTGCCACTGTTACTGATAATAACAAACGCAGGGGCTGAGGAACCTTGGGAAACAGTGACCCAGGGTTGTCGCCAGGCTCGCTGGTGGCGAGCTGGGCCATGGCTGGGTTTCATTGCTCTCTCTTCTGGTCCCAGCCGGTTCCAGTGTGTTGTCCTGTGTCTCCTGCTTCTTCCTGTCCTTTGGGAACAGCGAGTCAGCCATGATCGCTCTGCTCTGCCTTTTTGGGGGGGTCAGCATCGCATCCTGGAGCGCGCTAGACGTGCTGACTGTCGAACTCTACCCTTCGGACAAGAGGTAGTTTGGAGTGGGGTGGGGCAGGGGAGGAGGTTTAGGAGCCACAGGAGGGGAGAAGTGGGGTGCAGTGGGGGGGTGGCTGGATGGGAAGACTCTCGTTAGGGGTAGGACCCCCCCCCTCCGCTGAGTTTCCCCAACATTGGGAGCTTTCTCGCTTACTCCTGGTACTTCTGGCTACTGACCTCACGCTCCTGTCTCCTCTCTCTCTCTCCTCCTGATTGGTCTGTATTCCCCCCTGGTCCCGCACCCGGCCACCCTTCCTCCCCTCTCCCGAACACTGCCTGCCATCTTTCCCCACTTGCCCTGCCTGTCTTCCTCCTCCTGGGCCCTGACCGCCGCGTGACTTGGCTCTGGGGCCTCCCGAGCAGGACCACGGCCTTTGGCTTCCTGAATGCTCTGTGCAAGCTGGCTGCAGTGCTGGGGATCAGCATCTTCACCTCCTTTGTGGGAATCACCAAGGCTGCTCCTATCCTCTTTGCCTCGGCCGCTCTTGCCCTTGGAAGCTCTCTGGCCCTGAAGCTGCCTGAGACCCGGGGGCAGGTGCTGCAGTGAGGAGGGTCTCGGGGCGTCAGGGGGTGGCAGGCACACTGTGAGACCAATAATTCCTCTTATCCCTTCCTTCCCTGCCCTGCCCTCCCGACCCTCACTCCCCTGTGTTTGGTGTCTTAGCTGTGTGTGCCTGTGTGCATGTGTGTGACCCTGACGGGCAGGGACGACAGGGAAGGTCCCCTCATCCCACGTGTGGGGTGAGGCACTCCCCACCTGCTGCCACCCCTCAACTTTGCACAGGAGAAGGTCGAGCTGCACCCTTCTCTCCCCCAGTGTTCGTGGGGGGCCCTTGTTTCCCTGATCCGGGGGTTCCAGAACTTCTGCCTCCCCCTCCATCCCCTCTGCCTAGGCCCTGGTGAACCACAGGTATGGAGTCATGTTGGGGGCTGAGGCTTGGACCAAAAGAACTTCTTGAGTGGGAAGGGCCTTGGGTGCCCTCTAACCTCCCAAGGATGCTGGGGAGTAGCAATAAACCTCAGCCCTCTGGCCTCCATTTTCACCTCAATGCAGGCTACAGATAGGAAGCCTGGATTTTATGGAATTAGTTTTCTGATTCTTGTTTATATATAAGTTCTGAGGCAGCTTAGCAGGACTGTGTGTGTATGTGTGTGTATGTATGTGTGTGTGTGTGTGTGTGCCATGGGGCAGGGGTACCACTATACTGCTCAAATCTAAGCCCAGGGTAGTAGTTTCAGTGAACACACACACAACACTGTCTTTCTTTATTACCTCCCAGAATCTTCCATGTTGGAGCTGGGAGGGGGAAGAGCTAGCCAGGCTGGGATGATAGTCCTGCGATCTAGGGAGACCTGGGGGCACCCGACAAGGCCTCACTCTCCTTCTTCCTCCAGAGAGGTTTCACCCCCTGGCCACAGGCCTCCCACCTGACCTGTCCTCACAGGCAGGACCCCGAGGAGAAAGGGAAGAACCAGACATAAGGTCAAACCAGCAGATCCAAAAGCACAAGGAGTTGGGGCAGGGGCAGGAAGCAGGGGTCCTCCCTCAGCCCTTCTCAAAGAGGCCGGGCAGTGAGGGACCCCCAATGCAGGGACCAGAAGCCTCAGTTTCCCCATCTCGCCGTCCACAGCCAGCCTCTGTAGGTAGAGCTGCCCCTGTCCTACCCTACTCTGTGTGGCTGCTTTCTTTGGTACTCTCCCCCGACGCCCTCTGTAGCTGTGATGTGTTGTAGTTTTTAGCTGTTTGTAAAATGTTAAAAAGTTAAAAGGAAGTTAAAAATAACCACACACAAAAAAAGAAAATTCCAAATTCACCCTCCTCGCGCTTCGTCTGGTGCCCTCGACCCTAAGGCCATTCCCTGATTTTGTAACACTGAACCAGGTGGTGACTGTAACTCTGGTCTCTGTGCTCAAAGGACTGCCTTCTCCTCCAGTGCCCAGTGTACGAGTGTGTACCCCTCCTCACCATTCCGTGGCTGGACGTAGCCCTCTCCCTTACATCCCCGGGGGGGAGACACATCCACTTTCTTGTCTCCTTGGGAACCCTAAACCTGACTCATTGATGTGAAAAATGAAATGAAAAAAACTGCTGAAAAATAAAGGGTACCAATCCTTAGAATTCAAAGTGGCTCTGTCTGCTTCTTGCATCTCCACTCACATTTAACACCCTCTATTATTATTCTTGACTTGTGGAACAGGATGTCTCAAATCCACATTTTTGTTTAAGAACCATTTATTTACGGGGGCTGGACAGGCAGCTCTGTGGGTTAAGAGCCCTTGTTCCTCTTGAGAGAAGCAACAAAAACGTGTGTTCTGTGTGCGTGAGCCTCCTGCTTGCACATGTGTCTGTGTACCACATGTGCCTGGTTCCCATCAAGGCCAGAAGAGGGCATCAGATCCCCGGCATCTGGAGTTACAGTTGGTTGTGAGTCACCATGGGGGTGCTGGGAACCGAACCTGGATCCTTGGAAGAGCAGAAAGTGCAGCACCATCTCTAGCCCCATTTTAAGCCATGTCTTTTGGGAATTCCTACTGCCTGTAGCTTGCCCTGGATTCCTCCCCTCCACTCCATTGCTGCTTTAACCAAGACACATTACACTTTTTCTTTTTGTGAGACAAGTCCCACTAGTTAGCCCTGACGGGCCTTGAATTCAGTTGAGATCTGCCTGCTGCTCCTCATGCTGGGATTAAAGGCGTGTGCCACTACCCAGGGCTCTGAAGCCTTTAATAACCTTCTACTGCCCAAACAGGCCCAATCTAGACACTGTTTACAGTCAGAAACGGTCAAGATCACATACTCAGACATACGCATCTGCACTGCTGGGGTTAAACCCAAGGCATCAGACAAGCTAGTCAAGAGCTCTGCCGCCGAGACACATCCGCGGCCCAAGCTATGGTCAGCAACACCTTTCTCTGGGAACCTCCAGGTGAGAGGCACTGGAAAGCTTCACCTGAGCTCCCCTTGAAAACCCAGGCAGTGTTTGTCTCCGTTCGTTTCCTGCTTCAGATGCAGCAATTTCTTTCTTTCCGGTGTCATTTTGGGATCCTTGTAAAACCCCAATACTTCACTTCCTCACGAATCCCTTCTTCTCACAACACAACAAAACAAAACAGAACAACAGACAAACAAAAAAACGCCTGTAGGGGCCTAACAGCCGCATAAACCTGATGACCTCAATTCTTAGACTCCCAAGAGTTGTCCTCTGACCTCTACATGAGCGCCATGGTGTCATGTACCTCCCATCACATACACAATACGTAGCTCCAACTTAACGGGTATTAAGAACGCGGCTTTGACCTCCCAAGGCTGCTTCTCTTTATTTTCATGGCCCTGACTCACTCATCAGGACCAGGCAGCCCTCCCCGACTAGCCCAAGCAAGGGCAGCTGTGAGCAGCTGCTCTCTCCCTGGCCACCTTAGCTTTCATGGGCCAGGAGCTTCCTGGCCTCTGCATGGCGTACGCTAGCAGAAAGGGTAGGGACCCTGGGCCACACAAATCAAGGTATGACGTAGTAGTGACTTAGGAGTTTATTCTCATTCGGCCCCTTCCGATCGTTGTTCTCCCAATCTGGGTATTAGGAGGTCCCTCGAGTTTTCTTGCTTCCACCTAGGCAGGGGGGGCTAGTGTCCAACTGTGGGTTCTCCCTCCACTGGGCGGGGGTCTTCGCCTGGATGGCCAGCGCGTGTACCGGTCCAGCCAGCTCCTCCGACAGCGCCGCGCGTGAACCAACCGGTGCCGTTGCAGGGGGCCCATCCCCTCAAACCCAGAGCTCACCACCGCCACACAGTGCCTGCTGGGACAGTGTGGCTGCCGCTCTCTTTGCACAGCTCCAGGACCTCCTGGCTCAGGGCTTGCTCTAACTTGGCGCGGATAGCGACCTCCACTGGCCCGCCAATCCCGCGCTGGTCCGTGACACACGCGCGCGGCCATGAGGACCACGCACCGGGCCAACTGCGCCCTCAGCATCCGCTTTGGGAGATCTTTCATCTTCTGATATCTTCTTCTCTAATTTCTTTCTTCAAAAGCTTGAAGTTCTTGTCATTCAGGTCTTTCAATTGCTTGGTTAGAGTTACAACAAGATACATTATTTGTGGCTTTGTGAAGTGTGTTGTTCCCTTGATTTCTTTCTCAGGCTGTTTGTCATTTGTATATAGGAGTGCTACTAACTTGTTCTTTTTTTTTTTTTCCCTCTTTTCTTTCTAGTTAATTTTGTAACCAGCTACTTCACCGAAGGTGTTTATCTGCTGTAGGAGTTCCCTGGTAGAATTTTTTGCGTTGCTTATGTATACGATCATAACATCTGCAAATAATGGTACTTTGACTTCTTCCTTTCCAATTTGTATCCCTTTGATCTCCTTTAGTAGTCTTATTGCTCTAGCTGAAACTTAAATTACTATATTAGATAGATATGGACAGAGTGGACACCTTTGTTTTATCTCTGATTTTAGTGGAATTGCTTTTTCTTTCCATTTAATTTGATGTTGGCTTTGGTTTGCTGTACATTACCTTTATTATGTTTAGGTATGTCTCTTGTATCCCTGATCTCTCCAAGTCTTTTATCATGAAGGGGTATTGGATTGTTTTCAAAGGTTTTTTCAGCATTTAATGAGATGATCATGTGGCATTTTTCTTTCAGTTTTTTTATATAGTAGATTACAGTGACAGATTTTCATATGCTAAACCATCCCTGCATCTCTGGGATGAAGCCCACTTGACTATGCTGGATGATCTTTTGATGTGTTCTTGGATTCAATTTGTATTTTATTGAATATTTTTGCATCAATGTTCATGAGGGAAATTGGTCTATAATTCTTTCTTATTGTGTCTTTCTGTGGTTCAAGTATCAAGATAGCTGACTTCATAAAATGAATTTGGCAGTATTCCTTCTGTTTCTATTTTGTGGAATAATTGAGGAGTATTGGTGTTAGCTTTTCTTTAAGACTGGTAGAATTCTGTGCTAAAATCATCTGGCCCTAGGCTTTTTTGGTTGGGAGACTTATTAATGACTGCTTCTATTTTGTTAGGGATAAAGGTCTATTTAAATTGTTTATCTGATCTTGATTTAATTTTGGTAAGTTGTACAATCAAGAAAATTGCCCATTTTGTTTAGATTTTTTCCAATCTAAAAATCATTTGTGAAGTACAGGTTTTTGAAGTATGACCTAATGATTCTTTGGATTTCCTTGGTATCTGCTGTTATGTCCCCACCTCCTTGTTTCTTATTTTGTAAATTTGGATATTCTCTTTTAGTTAGTTTGGATAAGGGTTTTTCTATCTTGTTGATTTTCTCAAACATCAAATTCTTTGTTACATTGATTCTTTGTGTTGTTCTCTTTGTATTTTATTGATTTCAGCCCTGAGTTTGATTATTTACTGCTGTTTACTCCTCTTGGATATGTTTGCTTCTTTTGTTCTAGAGCTTTCAGGCATGCTGTTAATTTGCTTGTATGAGATATCTCTAATTTCTTTATGGTACTTAGTGTTATGAACTTTCCTCTTAGCACTGTTTTCATTGTGTCCCATAGTTTGGGTATGTTGTGCCTTCATTTTCATTGAATTCTAGGAAGTCTTTTCTTTCTCCCTTGACCCAGTGGTAATTCAGTAGAGTTGTTCAGTTTCCATGACTTGTAGGCTTCCTTTTGTTTCTGTTATTAAAATCCAGCTTTAATACATGGTGATCCAATATAGGGGTTTATTTTAAATTTCTTATGTCTGTTGAGAGTTGCTTTGTGACCTAGTATATGGTCAATTTTAAAAAGGTTCCATGAGGTGTTGAGAAGAAAGTATATTCTTTTGTGGTCAGATGAAATGTTTTGTAGATATGTTAGGTCTGTTTGAGTCATAATGTCTGTTAATTCCAATATTTCTCTATTTAGTTTCTGTCTGGGTGACCTATCCATTGGCGAGAGTACGGTGTTGAAGTCCTCCACTATTAATGTGTGGGGGTTGATATGTGAGTTCAGCTTTAGTAATGTTTCTTTTACAAATGTGGGTACCCTTGCATTTGGGGCATAGATGTTCAGAATTGAGACATCAACTTGGTGTTTTTCCTTTAATGAGTATGAAACTTCCTCTATCTCTTTTGACTAATTTTGGTTTAAAGTCTATTTTGTTAGATATTAGGATAGCTATACCAGCTTGCTTCCTAGGTTCATTTGATTCCAAAATCTTTTCCTAACCCTTTACTCTGAGGTAATGTCTATCTTTGATATTGAGGTGTTTCTAGTATTCACCAAATAGGATGGACCCTGCTTTTGTATCTATTCTGTTAGCCTGTGTCTTTTTATTGGTGAATTGAGTCCATTGATATTGAGAGATATTAATGACCAGTGATTGTTAATTCCTGTCATTTTGTTGTTGTTGTTGGTGGTGGTGGTGGTATGTGTGTGTTTCCCTTTTTTTGGATTTTGCTGGTGTGAGATTATCTATTGCCTGTGTTTTCAAGGGTGTTATTAACCTCCTTAGGTTTGAGTTTTCCTTCTAGTACATTCTTTAGGGCTGGATTTGTGGATAGAAATTTTAAATTTGACTTTGTCATGAAATATATTGTTTTCTCCATCTAGGGTGATTGAAAGTTTTGCTGGGTATAATAGTCTGATCTGGCACCTACGGTCTCATAAGAGTCTGCAAGACATCTGTCTGGGCCCTTCTGGACTGTTGAGAAGTCAGGTGTAATTCTAATAGGTCTGCCTTTATATCTTGGCCCTTTCCCCTTGCAGCATTTAATATTCTTTCTTTGTTCTTCTGTATGTTTAGTGTTTTGATTATTATGTGACATGGGGACTTTCTTTTCTGATCCAGTCTATTTGGTGTTCTATAAGTTTCTTCCACCATTATCAGTATGTTCTTCTTCTTCTTCTTCTTCTTCTTCTTCTTCTTCTTCTTCTTTTTTTTTTTGGTTTTTTGAGACAGGGTTTCTCTGCATAGCTTTATGCCTTTCCTGGAGCTCACTTGGTAGCCCAGGCTGGCCTCGAACTCACAGAGATCAGCCTGGCTCTGCCTCCCAAGTGCTGGGATTAAAGGCGTGCGCCACCACCGCCCGGCTCAGTATGTCCTTCTTTAGATCAGAAAAATTTTTTTCTATGATTTTGTTCAATATATTTTTTTGGGTTTTTGAGCTGGGA